CCCTGCCATGGAGTCCGTGGCCCTGTACAGCTTCCAGGCCACGGAGCAGGACGAGCTGCCCTTCCAGAAAGGGGACACGCTGAAGGTACCAGTTTGGGGGGTTGGGTGATGTTGTTTTGTGGGACGGATGTCACCGGGCCCATGGTGTCACCGGGCCCATGGTGACACCGGTGCTTTCTTTGTCGCTGACTTTAAAGCTTCTGGGGCTTTCTGTGGGATATAAGGAGCCAGCCTCGAGGATTTGGGGGTGTGGAGTAGCATTTCCTGCTTGCCTGTGCCACCAGGCACAACTTCAGAGAAGGACACCCCAGCTGGGACGTGGCATGTGGCCTCTGTGATTGTCAGTGCCACCAGCTGTGCTCAGTGACAGCCCCTGGGGCTCGGACACATTTTCCGTGTCCGGGGGGCACTGGAGGTCACAGGGATCCAGCATCGTGCCCAAACACCCACCCAGGCACTGGCATTGGGGGTGGGCCCTTAGATGCCAACTGGGAATCCCAAAAAGCTCCAGGCAGCAGAAGAAAAGCTCAGAACATCCCCGGGGGCAGCAGCTCTGCCATGGGAGTGAGGACCCCCCTCCCTGCCCATGTGCTCACCCCTCTCGGGCTCCTCCCGGACCCCTGGCACCCTGTAGCCCCCCGGGGGGACAGGGGCACATCCCAGCTGGAACCAGAGCCCCAAACCCTCCGTGCCATCCCTGCCTCCAGCCGTGTTTCCCCGTGCCCTGACTGCGGTTTCGGATCCTGTTTTCACAGCTGTGCCGGCCCCGGGCCCTGCGGGGGAGGCTGGAAAATGTTGTTGTCACACGGAAGCGGTGTCAGCACCCACTGCCACCGTCCCCGGGGACACCGGGGCCTGGCTCCCATCCTGGGACAGATCCCACCCTCTTCTCTGGGCAGGGGTTTGTGAACACACCAGGCACCTTCCAGCTCCGTGACCCCAAAGCCCCCAGAGTGTGCCAGCACTGCCAGAGCCCCCTTTGCCCCAGGGATGGTTGGGGGTGCTGTGGGGTCTGGGGCAGCAATGGGGTCCCACCCAGCCCCTCTGCCAGGGGAATGACACCTCCCTGCTCCTCTCCCCCCTCAGATCCTCAACATGGAGGATGACCAGAACTGGTACAAGGCTGAGCTGTTCGGCCGCGAGGGCTTTGTCCCCAAAAACTACATCAAGGTCAAGCCACACCCGTGAGTACCGTCCCACCAGGCAGGCAACAATCCCAATTCCCAATTTACAACAAGCCAGGGTAGTCCCACACTTGGGGAAATCTCACATTTGGGGAAACTGAGTCATAGAGATGGGGGGGTCAGTGCCAGTGCCACCACAGCCCGAGGGGACAGGAGGCAGCAGCACACCCACGTACCCCCAAAAATCCAGCCCTCACACCGAGCTGCCACTGAATAAATGATAATTGGGGAACAACAAAGCGTTATGGGATTATCACTGCATTAAACACAATCCTATTAGCACGTTATTAAAGCCCAGCCTAATCCATCGCTGATTGAAGCTGTGTTTGATACATCCTTAGCCCCTGGTAAATCACATTTCAGTGGCAGAGCGAGCGCGTGGGCTCGGGGCAGCCCGGGGCTCATCCCACTGCTTCTGCAGCTGGGGATAACAACGGGCATGGATGGATGAGACACAGCCTCTCCTGCAGCACCTGGAGCGCTGGCTCTGTGCTGAGCTCCCTGGCTGATCATTCACGGGGCAGCTCTTACAGCAGCAGGGAATCTTCCTAGCCCAGGGACATGAAATACCCTGAAATAAATACCCTGAAATACATACCCTGAAATACCCTGACTAAATAACCTGAAATATCCTGAAATACCCTGATATACCCTGAAATAAATACCCTGAAATANCTGTGTCCCCTCCCAGGCACTGCGGGACCACGTGTGGCTCCAGGCCGGACACCCCAAGGTGCCCCCAAAGCCTCCCTGCTGCCCCAAACCCCAAAACTGCTCCTGGAACAGCTGATTGTCACCCCCATAACCCATTCCTGGGCTGCAGGTTTCCCCCACACCAACCCCACCCAGGCCACCCTCCCTGCCCTGTTGCTCTCCATGTGGGATGGGATGGAGTGGCCTCTGCATCACCCAATTTGGACTGATGGAGCAGGGACAGGATCAGGCACAGGACTGGGGGGACAGCAGCTCTGCTGGGCTGCTTTCCCCGGGGAACATCCAGCTCCATCCCCACAGGGCTGCTGGATAAAGCTCACCCCGAGATGATTTCCTGCTGCATTCCCATCCCCTGGGTCTCTCTGGGATTTGGGATTTGCTGAGTCCCCTCCTCCCTGGGACAGCCCAGCACATTGGGAGCCTCTTCCCACGGCCTCGCTGACCCTCCTGGCCTTTGCAGCACCCCTGGGAGCAGCACATCCCGGGATATCCATGGGGACTGTGGGGACACCCGGTGACACCCTGCACATCCCTCTCTGCATCCCAGGGCACTGGGAGCGGCCTCAGTGAGGTGCTAGAGGGCGTTTGCTTTTCGGATCCATCAGGAGCTTGGAATGAGGTTTGGGAGAGGCAAATCCCCGAGCCCGTGTCCCCACAGTGGCCCTACAAGCTCATCCCACCCCGGGCAGATGGAGCAGAGCTGGAAAATGCCCAAACCCACGGGCAGGACTGCGCTGCAGCTGTCCCTGGTTTGATTCTCGCAGCAAAGCCAGGCAGTGTCTGGCGGGTTTTCCATGCTCTCCCTGCCCCTGCCCACACACAGGAAGGCTGAACAGCTCCGATCATTCCCGCTGGGAATGCTCCCCGGCGTGTGAGCCCTGCAGGCTCCGTGCCTGACGCCCACGGGAGCAGCAGGAAGTTTTAGTGCTCAGTTTTAGCCTAAAAGGGAGTTTTATTCCCTGAGCCCTGAAGAGGAAAACTGGGGAAAATCAACTCGCTCAAGGGGTCCAATATCAGCCCAAAGAGCCAATATCAGTTGTGATGAAAGCTCGCTGCTCAGAGGGTTTGCTCTGAATTCCAGAGAAACCAGGTGTGTGCATCCACCCACCTCCAACGCTCTTTTCCTTCTGGAAAACCATTCCCACCAAGCCCCTCAAGCAGAGATTCCCCCACCACCGCTGCCCGTGCTCTCCAAACACCCTCCCCAAAATCCTCACTCCGTGCCCAGCCCATCACCATCCCCTTTCCACCCAACCCCACTGCCCGCCACTCACCGCGGGGGAAACGCCAAATCCTCCTGCCATCCCCACGGCTCCCCTGGCACTCG